TTGGCTGAAGCTCAACTCCTATGATTGACTGAGATTCAGCTGTTTGTTACAAGAATATACTCTTAGGTTGCATTTTGTTTACATATTAAGTAAGGTTTCAGTTTTCTATGTAGGAATTCAAACTATGGAGGGAGCTTTAGGTCAAATTTAAGTTAATTTAACATTAGTAATACTTGATAATAGCAACAGAGGTTTCATAAATATTATAATCCCTAATTTTGGGGTAAAGCATGGGGAAAAGGTGTAACAGGAAAATAAGCAGCAGGAATGAAGGATGGTATGTTGTGTTAATTGCAACAGTTTGATTTAGCTAAGTGAGGCAGAAGCAGTGAGAGGTGCAGCTGAAATGACTGACAGGGATGAGATCATGGAGAACCTCTTATAACAAGAAATGTAGACAGGGTTTCCACCAGCAGGTGATGGGAAGCTGCTGAAGGATTTTAATCAAAAGAATAACATGAGCCGATTTGTGTTTTAAAAAGATTGCAATGGAACGGAGGCAGTAAATGCTCAATGCTATTTTGTTAATTAATGGAAGAATGGATATCAGGTTTTTTTTTCTTTTTAAGCCCTTCAAGCATCCCACACAGTGGCAGGTATTCTACAAGTTAAAGGAGATGTGTATATACAAAATATTTCCTCAGAGGCCAGTAAGTGCTGGATTAGTTGAGTAAAGCTCCATAAGGAAAGAAATATTTGAGTTGGGCTGTGAATAAATATCAAGAGAGTGATCTGAGGAGGAAGTAAAATTGGGCACCTGAGTGGAGGTCTCTCTAAGTGTCATGTATTACATTTATCATCGAATAAGAGAGAAGGGAAATATGGATGCTCAACCTCCTCTCCAAATCTGATTCCTCATCTGTAAAATGCAGACGATTATCAAGTCTACCTTACGTAACTGTTAGGAGTAAATGATTAAATGTGTATTAAGAAAAAGCATAATTCCTAGCACAAAATATGTTTTTAATCAGTGGTATTTATTCAAATGGAAGGAGATGAGTAGATTTGAGACGTACTGGAAAAAATGTAGTTTTAAGTCAAATTGATTAATATTGTGTAGGACTAACCATGAGCTAGTCTTGGTACAGTCTTTTTTGTGTATTACAGTATATCATATAACCCCTGGAACAGATTTATGGGTTAGGTACTATTATGGTTTCTATTTTATACCCGAGAAAATTGTGTTTTAGAGATAAGTAATTAATTCAAGATCAGACAGATATAAGAGGCAAAGCCAAGACTGAAACAATCTGTCTAATTCCAAAGTTTATTGTCTCAACCACTATATTATACCAGCTCTGATATTTACTTGCTATAGTACCGTGGGCAAACATTAGCCATTACGGGCCAGTTGCTTCATCCACTTCCTCTACCCCCTGAGTATACCACCAGACAATATTTCTCCATTACAACTGAGATTGGCCATATGATGGAGTTATGGCCAAAGGCATATGAGCAGAAGTAATGTGTGCTATAACTGCCAGAAATAGTTGAGTCAGAGTGAGTGGGTGTTAGCTACTATTGACAACATTTTTAAAGGCACTACAGTAAATGAACTCAAGTAAGAATTGATTAGTTTAGAAGCAGAAATAAAAGAGAACAGAGAAAATTCAAAAATACAAAGCTCACAGAATTAGAATGCCAACTTTTTTGGTTCTAAGATACTATATTTAATTAATTATAAGACATACACTTTTCACATTTTAATATCTTTGACTATGGAATGGTCCTTAAAATTTCTATCATCTCATAGTCGCTGTTGACTACGTGATGAGTGTGACACAGTTGTCATTGCCTGCACATGTGTAAGTAAATGTGCTACTTATTCCTGTGCTTTATTGAATAACAGCATCTCTTAAATATTTCAACCAGTAAACCATTAATGGCAATTTGAGGAAGAAATACGAATAAAGGTTGTTATGTGAATGCCTTCTCCTGACAGGTAGATAAAGCTTCTAAAAATTTAAAAAGAAAAATGAAAAAGTGTCAGCATTAAAACATACACAGCAATTATTACCAGCTTGGAAGAAAATCTTGGGGACAATAATGGAGTACTTTAAAAAAAGTACTGTCAATAATTTTGATGACATAGAAGATGATATTGCATGAAACAACACAGGTATCCACAAATATTAGTCAGAAATTGATTTTTAAAATTTAATGATGAATGCATAGAATTTTTGAAATGATTTCACCAATTTCCTTACTTTCATTTGCCTCATTTTTTATTTATAAAATGATACATAATATAAAAATATATGTCTCAACTTCCTTTCTGATAAAGCTGAATAAAGTCCTATCAAACAATCTTCCAGGGAATAACAAGTATAAACTTCATAAAAAGTACAAAACACACTGTAGGATTAAGAAAAGACACTGGAAAACAATCAAAAGTGGGTATTTTCTAGAGAGGGGTTGACAACTTGGAAGAACACAATAAGATGAATTTATTAGTTTTATAGTTTTAACCTGAGAGAAGACCTCAAACAGTTCACTCTATACAGAAAACCTGTATTTTTTTCTAGACTAGAGAGACTCAGAGGACAGAATTTACATAAACCACAGCAGCTGTAAAGTGAAGGGAAACTTCCAGAAAGATGAGAGGCAAAGCCTTAACTTCTATGCATATACTCTGCTCCAAACCTCTGGCTGAACTCTAAGTTTTGCATACATAGGGAAAACTTCAGGCACTCAAGCTAAGGACAAATGAACTGAACTAAAGTTTGAGCTACCAATGGAATGCCAACAGAAAGACAGTTTGAGCCCAATCAAGTAAATTGTCAGCTAAAACCACCAGAAAAAGAACATTTTTTTAGGAATACTACAACAGAATCTAAAGTTTTCATCACATAAAAATTCCAATGTCCTAGATATCATAAAAACATTCTTCACAAAAAAAGAGGAAAATATGATCTTTGAATCAGATAGATGAGAGTTTAAGTCTTAGGACTAGCCATGGGATCTTGGACAAGTTTCTTAATTTTCCTAAGCTTATAATTTCTTATCTAAAGTCTTTTTAATTTAAAAAAAGAAACTGAAGTCAACCTCATTTTATGAAGTCTCGTGAGAATCACAGGCAATAATGCATAGAGTACCTGCCACATGATAGCCTTAATCTGATATTAATAAAGCGCTAGGTCAACTTTGAGGGGTAGGTTGGAGCTCATCTTCCAAAGATATGAATTAGTGATGTTTGTATAAACTAATTAAATTAACAGAGAGAAATTCAATGACACATGTTGGAAATTGGTTTGACGTTATAAGATTTTGACACCATTTATTCCATCTTGAGTTGGATTACCTAGAGAAATATGCCTTCTCTAGTTCTTAGGAGATCTAGACTAATCTGGTTATCTCCTTCATCCTCAGTGAAATAGTCATTGGAAATTATTCAGTATTTATTAAGTGATCTGTTTAGAAAAGACGTTTGGAAAAAGAGGGAGACTTCCTTGGGAATTAAAAGTGTGTTTGTTAACATTCAAAACATAAAAGATTATAAAATTAATACATTTTAGTAAATATATAGTTTCCCACCTAGCTTACTATCTAGTGCTATACTATCACCGATGACCAGTGCATAGTTTCTATTTAGATTGATCAGACTTTCAGAGCAGTTGAACAAAGCTTTCCAGTGATTCTTCAACAGGACAACACAGTACATTAGAAATAGTTGGAATGTGGAATTAGATTAATAGTTGTATCCCAGTTCATTTATTTACTAGCTGTGTAGCTTAGAAAAATGTTTTAACCTCTTTGAGTCGCAGGTAAAATAAGGTTATAGAAACTTCCCTACAGTTCTTTATATGTATGTATTATGTGTGTGAGGACAAAGTGAAATAATAACTATAAAGATGATGTATAGGTGCTTACAATTTCCATTGAGGAAACACCAAGAGGCAAGATTCTCAAGTTCAGATGTACTATGGGTGGAAAAAAAGTGAAAATGTTTGGAGACTTTTCTAAATCCTTCTCATCTTTGTTTCCTATTAACTCCCCAGATAAGAATCAGGGTGACTTTAATAGCACATTACTCACCTCATCTCTTCTTTATTCCTTATCTTTCCTCAGAGTTCACCCAGCTTCACAGAAAAGTCTGAAGGCAATGCTATGGGTTGAATGGTGTGAACCTAGACTTTTCATCCCTTTGCCAAATGCCAGCTCCAGAACTACCATGCTCTGCCTGGTTATCACCTTCCCAATAGACCACCCTTCTAAGCACTTGATAGTTGCATATGGTTTCTATTTGTCCTAAGTGTTGACTTTTAAATGACTTTCCATTTCATTTTTTTTTAATCTCTTATAGAATCAAAAGGAACAAATATTTGAAACCCAGTAGCAGGACAGTGTTTCTGATATGCACTGAATGGCCTTGTCATTTTCTTGACTGTTTTTAGGCTCGCTAAGATTTAAACCTAAAGTGTCTTCTTTAAAACATCTCCACTCCTTTAAAACATTAATCATCAATTAGAACACATTCAGCAAGACCACTGACACTTTTCACACCATGAATTGAATTCTTTTTGTAATAGAAAACTAAACCAATATCTTATTGTCATATCAAATTCAGTTATTTTTGCTCAAGTTCAATTTAGAACAAAGGTCAACTGAAAAATGAAACAAAACAAAAGTCAGATAACAACCAGAAGAGAATTTTAAGTTGAGAAGGTATGTTGTGTTAACTTGCTAGTAACTGGCCATGCCATCCAGGACTTAATCTTTATTCAAAGTGTTCTGTGATACTGTTTTGTACTGAAAAGGTCCTAGCAGGTTAAAGAAAAGGGTACTTGCTGCATGCTAGGGGACAATGATGGTGAATTCTGGATGATCAATTGGGTCCATCTAGATTCAATCATTTATTGTTAAAAATCACCTCAATAGGTTCTTTATTGAAATTGTATAAACAAGACTTCTGTATTCATCTCCTAGGGCTACTATAACAAATTATCACAAACTGAGTGGCCAACAGAAATGTGTTGTTTCACAATTCTGGAGGCAAGAAGTCTGAAATCGTGGTGTGGGCAGGGCTGCTGCCTTCTGGGACCTCTAGGGGAGAATCTGTTTCATGGCTCTCTCTAGCTTCTGGTGGCCATGGGCCATCCTTCCTGTTGCTTGGCTTGTTGGCACATCATTCTGATGTTGGCCTCCACCTTCATGTGGGGTTCTACCTGTGTGTCTTCTCTGTTCCCTGTGTCTTCTTCTTGTCTGATAGTGGATTCAGAGCCTGTCCTAGTCTAGTTTGATATTATCTTAAATTATATCGGCAAAGACCCTATTTCTAAATAAAGTCACATTCTGAGATTCTGGGTGAACCTAAATTATGAGGACATGACTCAATCCAGTACAGCTTTTCTTGGGAAAAATGAAAACATGTGACTGGGATATATGCACAAAGTAATTCTATCCACTTTGATTCTGCTATCTAGGGAAAATAAAAAAGGTGGCAATGGGGGGTGGGAGGAGCTTGCCTTGGTAACCAGAAAGTACTCACTGCGGTGGCTGTAGCTTTCTTTAACTCTATGTGTTGACCGGAAGGCCACGCTTCTAAGCAACTAGGAAAGTTTTCCAGGTCTGTAACCTCTCTCTCCACCTGCTCTTACTTTTCCTGTGGCAACAAGAAGAGAGAAAGGCTGATGTCAGGTTCTTTCTCAATGGGTACATTAAACTGCTGGGACTCAATAAGAGTCCTCAACTGTGTAGTTCCACCAGCATTATCCCCAGGGGAACCGAAATAATGAATGACAGTGCCTTGCATAGTACTAGTACAGAGAAAGAACTGGATTTATTTTTATCAAATCTAAATATGAGACATTTCTTTCAAGAAGAACCTTACATTGTGAAAAAAAAGAGAGTTGAGTAAATTGGCTGATGATCTGGTAAGAAATGACTCTATTTACAAATTCAGTTGAATGAGAATTTCCCACACCACTTTCATGGAACAAACTGTATATGTTGCAGAATCGATAACCCATGCTAAGGGTTTAAATTGAATTTGTCTGGTCTGCATATAAAATATGCTGATTCTGAGCAACCTCTTGTGCCTAACTCCATATTCTTCTAATTTACTTGCCTCTTTACAGTTTTAAAGATATTAGAGATCACAAGTGTACCAGTGAACAAATGGTAATAATGATATCTACCATTATTTCTTGAACACCTCCTGTATTCCAAGCACTGTAATTTACATTCAACATATATTGCTAAATTCAACCTCTGAGGCAAGAGTTATCATCTCAATTTTGTAAATGAGGAAATTTAGGCTTTTAAACACTGTGTTTTTTTTTCCATCATGCTACACTGCCTCACCATTCCTGACACAGATAGGGGTGAGATGTCGTATAAGGCCTACTCAAAATACTGGCCCCTATCTCATCAGGACCACAAAGTTAATACTTTCTAATGTAACATTCATATCATTTGTCAAATTTTTGTTATTCCCTTGAACAAAATCAAAGTGAATTACTTAATCTCTCTAAAGCCTCAGTTTCCTCATCTGTCAGGTAGGAAAAATAATGCTCATCCTCCAGGGTGGTCATATAGAAGGTTGTACTAAGAAGAGCTCAATAAACTGAGATTATTTTTATGTTCACTGGTCCACCATTCAGAGAGGCTACTTTGACACCTCTTTCCCAAAATATCATATCGTAGTCATCACCTGTCTCTGAGAGCAGGGTGTGCAGGTGGTTAGGTGATAGGACATGGAGCTGGGAGAGAAGGGGCTTAGGGCCACAGATAATCTTCAATAATTTCAACAAGTTATTGAAATCACCTTGTGAGCATGTAAATTATTCTGTCCTTCTAGTTAAATTTCCAGATGGTGCTGCGTTAGGATAACTTGGAACTCACAGCTTCTGCTGCTGCACAGGAGAGATGCGGCTGGGGTCAGACAGCAGGACCCCAGTCATATATATTCAAGGCACTTCCAAGATCTAGCCTAGTGACTTCTTTATTAATTATACAAATAAACTACTTCATTGAGAATAAATATATTGCAACAGTAATCTGCAGCAGGAAAATTTTGTTCACTGATTTCTCAGTTTAAATATATAACATCTGAATCCCCCTGCTCTCACAGACTGTTAGATTTGGAAAAGACTTTAGAGATAATTTCATTTAAAAATAAATATTCACTTTATGGATAGGATAATTAGAGCTCATGGTTAAATGGTTTGCCAAAGATCACAGAGTTAATTTAGACAGAGTTAAACCTAGAAACTCAGTTTTATTTATTTATTTTTAAATATGAAGATACCCTCAAGACAGGGTTTCTCAACCCGGTGCTATTGGCATTTTGGGGCTGGATGATAATTTGTTGCGGGGGGATGTCATGTGCACTGTGGGATGTTTAACAGCCTCTCCCTGCTCAAGAGATGCTGGGAACAACCTCCAGCCCCCAGCATCACAATCTGAAATGTCTCTACATGTTGCCCATGAGTAAAATCACTCCAGTTGAGGAGGACTACCTTAAGACTTATTCTGGAAATCAAATGAAATAATGAACATGCTTCATAATGAACTGTTGCTTAACAATGAAGTATTGGACATTTACCAGTGATTGTTATTAGGTCCAAGGATTCCATTATTGAGTTTTGTTTTCACTCTGTCATGTAAGAAGTACTTGGCTGAGGGTGAGATAAACCCCCAGTGTGGAAAAAGGAACAAGAGGGTTCATAGAGCTCATGTGGCCTTTGGAAATAAACCATGGGATCAGCTCAGAATGGATGAGATCAGATATCTACTATGCCTATTATACCCTCGCCCATTCATCTCCAGTCCATTAATTCTCAAGCAGTCCCTCTTCAAGGCTTTTCTGAGGTCTTCACCCTGGGTCTGGGGTTGGTTGCCTTTCTCTGTATTCCCAAGTTTCCTATACATTTCTTAACTGCTGCACTCACCACATGGAGTTACAATGATTTGTTTACGTGCCTGTCTCTCCCTGTAGACATGGATCTTAGAGGAAGTGACTGTGTTTTATTTGTCTTTACATACCTACCAACTCGTGCAATACATGACCTAGAAGATGATCAATTAATATTTGATGAATAGGTAAATGAGTGATGAAATGATTTTTAAAAATAAAATGTGTAAGAGTTCTCCTTTCTCCACATCCATGCCAACATTTTTTATAATAGCCACTCTAATTGGTGTAAGAGGTCTCATTGTGGTTTTGATTTGCATTTTCCTAGTAATTAGTGATGTTGATAATTTTTTTCCATATACATGTTGGCCATCTGTATGTCTTCCTTTAAAAACCTTTATTCAGATCTTTTCCCCATTTTAAATTAGATGGTTTGTTTTGCTATTGAATTATCTGAGTTCTTTATATATTCCGGATTCAACCCCTTGTCAGATGAGTAGTTTGCAAATATTTTCTCTATTCTGTAAATTGTCTTTTCTCTGATTTTTCCTTTCCTGTGCAGAAGCTTTTTAGTTTGATGTAATCCCACTTGTTTATTTTTGCTTTTGTTGCCTGTGCTTTTGGAGACTTGTCCAAAAATTTCTTGTCCAGACCAATGTCATAAAGCATTTATCCTATGTTTTATCTATTAGTTTCAAATCTTTGGGTCTTACACTTAAGTCCCTAATCCATTTTGAGTTTATTTTTTTGTGTATGATAAATTGTACATATAGTATGTTAGTGGTAATGTAAATTGGTACAACTTTTATGAAAAATAATATGGAGGTTTCTCAAAAAACTATGACCCAGCAATCCTACTATGAGGTATATACCCAAAGAAAATACAATCAGTAGCCAGGCATGGTGGCTTACACCTGCAATCCCAGCACTTTGGGAGGTTGAGGCAGGAGGATCACAAGGTCAGGAGATCGAGACTATCCTGGCTAACATGGTGAAACCCCATTTCTACTAAAAATAAAAAATAAAATAGCCGGGTGTGGTGGTAGGCACCTGTAGTCCCAGCTACTTAGGAGGCTGAGACAGGAGAATGGCATGAACCCAGAAGGCAGAGCTTGCAGTGAGCCGAGATTGTGCCACTGCACTCCAGCCTTGGCGACAGAGTGACTCTGTCTCAAAAAAAAATAAAGAAAGAAAGAAAATACAATCAGTATGTTCAAAGAGATATCTGTAGTCCCATAATTATTGCAGCACTATTCAAAATAGCCAAGATTCGGAATCAACCTAAGTGTCCATTAACAGATGAACAGATAAAGAAAATGTGATATATATGCACAAAGGAAACCATTTGTCCATAAAAAATACTGGAATCATGTTTTTTGTCATAACATAGATGATCCTGGAGGACATTGTTTCGTTGCTGCTGTTGTTGTTGAGACGGAGTTTCACACTGTCGCCTGGGCTGGAGTGCAATGGCACGATCGCTGAAGGATATTCTTAAGTGAAATAAGCCAGCCAAGAAAAACAAACACTGCATGATCTCACGCATACATTGGATCTAAAGAAGTTGATCTCATAGAAGTAGAGAATAGAATAGTGGTTACCAAAGGCTGGAGAAGGTAGGGAACTGGAGGGATAGGAAAAGATTGGTCAGTGGGCCCAAGGTAGAGTCACATAGGAGGAATAAGTTCTGTTGTTCTATTGCACTGTTGGGTGACTATGGATAACAATACTGCATTGTATATTTCAAAATAGCTAGAAGTTAGGATGTGAATGTTCTTACCACAAAGAAATGAAAACGTATCAGGTGATAGACATGATAGGTACCCTAATTTGATTTTTCCGCAATGTATCACAACATCACACTATACCCCATACATATGTACAATTATTATGTGTCAATTAAAAACAAAATAAAATGAATGGATAAGCTTTAGAGATATAAAGTCCATTTACTTTAGATTATGAAAAGAGCAAAGAGTTCCCAGGTCGGGCAAAGCTTTTTCTCTGAATTTAGCTGGACAAAGGAGAAAGTCAGCAGGTAGCTGTCAACAGCATCAATTCAAACAGTGTTCTGAAACATCTCTGAAATTTAAAAAAAAAAATGTGTGCATGTGTGTATTATAAGATGAAATTAATCTACAATATTCTATTTTACGGAGGAGTATGTGGTTAGAGGGAATACTAGTTAAGCAAGGCTCAAGTAATAATAGATGTTCTCTAAATTCCCTTCTTGGGAAGCTAGATCCATTTCCCTGCTAAGTATTATTTAGCCAAGATGGATATGCAAGGTTTGATCAGAGAGGAAGCCCCTGGAACAACAGAGGCTGAGCACAGCCACGGGCTTCTACTTTTATTGCCTCCCTAACCCACCTCATGCCCATGCAGAGCTCAATTTCTCTCAAAAAGTGGTGAGCAAATATTTAAAGAATATCATTCTGGCTGGACTCAGTGTCTCATGCCTGTAATCCCAGCACTTTGGGAGGCCAAGGCAGGTGGATCACTTGAGGCCAGAAGTTCAAGATCTGCCTGGCGAACATGGTGAAACCCCATCTCTAAGATATATATGTATATGAGATTATATATGTACATATATATGTATATACAGCTATATATACATTATATATCATATATATACACACACATATATAAAAATTAGCTGGGCATGGTGGCACATGCCAATAATCCCAGCTACTCAGGAGGCTGAGATCGTGCCACTGTGCTCTAGGCTGGATAACAGAGTGAGACGC